TCTCTCTTGAAACCAGTACAAATATTTGTTTTGACTCACTGACTTTCTGGTTCCCTTTCTTGGTGAGGTGGCAAAAATAAATATCATTCTTCCTATGCCTCTGTAAGGGGAACTGGGTTCTGGCTCCAATCCCTGGTAGGTCTCTAGAACTCTTTTGGCTGATGTAACCCATCTTAGCACATAGGTTCAGGGAGCTGCAAGGCCTTCCCCCCCCTGCCCCCGAGAAATATACACAAAACTGCCAAAAGTTATTATTATTAAGCCACCATGACAAATATATCAATGAATACTGATGTTCTACAGTTTCTGTGACATAAATAACATTATTGGCAATCCCAAGCATCATTGCACTAGAAAAATCCAGCCTTGAATGTAGTGAAATGCCATTTTCTGGGCGAGTACTGGTGGCTCCTAGGAGCTTACTGGATTGATATGTATGTATTAGACCATGGCATCAGTCAATTTGACAGGTTGATAGGAGTTCTTACCTACCGGGGACCATGAATCAGAATCTGGACCTCCTCAGAGAGGCACAAGAAGCAATGGCATATAGAAACCCCCATGTGGTTGGGAAGCATTCCATATCTACCATCGACTGGGTTAGGCACCCAGAAAGGTAGACGTCCCAAAATAAACTCCACTTGGTGAAAAATTGCTACCGAAGCCGAACAATCAAGCAGGACTCCACAATCTGAAAACAAGCAAACAAGCACGACATCACAACTGCCGCCACGCCGATATCTGTGCAACTCCCACCTCCCCGGCAGGGAAAAGGGGGAGCCCCAGGCCCTCGTGCCAGCAATCCAACCTCAGTTCAGAGGCTGAATATAAAAAATGCACAAACCACCAACCGGGAGGGAGGGAGGGAGGGTTGCCGGGAAGCCTTTGGAACTCGCCCAGAAAATGGCGTTTCATTACATTTAATGCTGGTTTTCTGTGGAGAGCTGCTTTGGTTCCATGGAATTACCTAACAACAGAGAAGGTAAAAAAGGGAGGCGGCCGCCACTCACACCTTAACGCAAAATCGAGACAACTGGCTGCAACTTGCTACCCAAAGCGACACATGCCCAAATAGAGCCAGGAACATTAACAAGGTAACGGGAGGCCAGAACCCTGTTCGACCTCCAAAATCCTCACACCCAAATGTCAGCCCTAGACATATTACCAAAAACAGCAGCTAAAGCAGCAAATTTGCGAACATTATGGGCACGGAGATAGACCACAGGCTGGCTGGACCAAATAACCCTGAGGACGACCTGGGAGACCCGAGCCCTGGAACAGGGAAGAAGGGAAACCTGGGTCAACCTAGGCACGTTCCATGCCACTGAGGCCGTGGCGCGCTAATAATGGCGAAGAGCCGCGACTGGACACAACACATGATGCACCCCCGACCGAACAAACCAAGCATCAATAACCCAAGGATCCCTCTGGACAACCGCTGTCTCATTCTACGCCAGAAAAGGAGACAGTTGCAAACGAACAAACCTACCACCAGGACCGAAGAAGCAAAAACCCCTGCACTGGAGGAGAGCATGAAGCTCCCCAACCCGACCTCCAGACGCCAATGCCAACAAGAAAAGAGCCTTATCAAAACAATCCCAAACCAAAGGAGCCACCACTAACCAAGAAGAAGAGAAAAAAGAGAGCACCCAGTTCAATGACTAGGAAGGCACATGAGCAGGCCGGAGGTGAAACAATGCACGAGGCAGCTTGCAAAACTGAGTGGAAGAAACATCCACCCCAAACACAAGCAGGAGCGGCTCCACCCAGTGCCGCTCCTGCAGTGCAGAGAAAGGACAAAACAATCCGATCTGAAACCGAAGACAGCCTATGAAGGGACAAAAAGTGACGGAAGAACCGCCAGGAGACTTCATACTGCCGGTGAGATGAAACACGCAAGTGGGACACCATCAACAAAGCCACCTGATCACCATACAAGTGGCGATAGACTGGCGTCAGAAAAATGCGATGATGATCAAACCAGCCCGATCAGCTGAAAGAGGCGGAGCCGCGGAAAAGTTACCGGGTTCAGAAACCGAGCAAGCAGCACATGAAACCAAGGCTGAGCCAGCCACCAAGGGGCCAACAGGACTACTCTTCCCTGGTAAGTCTCCAAACGAGCAAGAACCCAAAGCAACAGCTGGACCAGGGGTAAGAGGTACAGGTAACCCCACCTCGACCAGTCCTGCCAAACGGCATTGATCCCAATGACCTTACAGTCGGGGAAGGGAGTCACATATACCGGAAGACACCTCGACCACACCGACGCGAAAAGGTCCACCTCAAAGCGCCAGTACGTCCAGCAGAGCCAACTGAACAAGTCGCCGTCGACCGTCCATTCTGTAGATAGGGAAATGAACTATGACAGGCTGTCCACCAGGACGTTGGACACTCCCGAGATATGAACCGCCTGGAGAGCCAAATCACAAAAACTCGGCAAACGAGTCACCCGCAGCGACCAGCCCCAATGAACCAAAGACTGCATCGAACCCCCGCGGTTCAGGCAATGAACCACCAGGTCACAGTCTGAATAGAGCCGGATTGTCGATCTGCAAGCGACACAAACCCTCCGAAGCGACAGTCACACCACAGCGAACTCCCGCACTGTGCTGTGAGCCCGACTGATGGATGGATCCCACAACCCTGGTCGGCCTGGTGTGCACTGGTCACAAAGCCCCAGCCAAGAGACGACGCCAAAACCAGAACGGACACTGAAGCCAGACCCGACCCAGCGGGTAAACCAGCATGACGAAGGTCACAGCTGCACGACTAACTGGCGAGTGACCCCGAGAGCTCCTCAGAAACAGCCAAAGGCGGGACCGCAGCAGCAACTCCGGAGGAAGAGACAAGAAAGTGGTCAGCGAGTCTCACATAAGACCCAGCCATGTTCAAACCAGAGAAGGAACCAGATGGAACTATCCCCAGTACACCAGGAACCGGAACCCAGTGAACTGGGAAAGAAGTACCCCTCTGACGAGCAGACAAGCAGACTGGCAGGAAGCCTACACCAGACTGTGACAGGCCACCACGAACTGGGTAAGACATGGAATACGTGAGGTGCCAGTGCCAAACCAAAGGAAGGCAACGAAAACATGAAGCCAGTCACCCCATGAAGAAAACCAACCAGTCCCTGAACCCCGGAGGAAGAGGGACACCATCCAACACCCCGGCGTCAAAAGAAGCCGGACATGTGATAGAGAGGTCATCTAAAAACAAGGGGGCGAGGAATTCAGCAGTTCAGATGGGACAAGTCCAGAATGAACCGCAGAACCGCACAGACCCATTCCTGTACTGGAAACAGGCGGGAACCCACCAGAGGAACGAGGTCAAAATGATCAAGCCCAAGCGCACTCACTTTAAAAAAAAAAATGACCCAACGAAACGCAGGGGAAGAGGCCATAATTTTGAGCATAGCAATGTTCCACACATTGAACTATATAAATTCCACAAATTTCACACTTTTGAATAATATTACAGCAAAAAAAACAGAAGAAATGAATGAGAAACATCAAAATAATTGTGAAACATTATATTTGCGGCAACTGCCGCCCCATGGGGTGGCGGGGACTAGTGACCTGGAGCGCTCCATCGCACCCATAATATGCTCAACTTCCCAGCTCCATCGCGGCTAAAGTATGTCACATACAATATTTTTTTTTAGTTTCTTATGGTCAGAGACTGCATTTTAATAATATAAGAGAAAATAATTTTTTGAGAAGAATTTATTTTTGGCACACCACGGGGGTGTCATATTTTTAATGCAGAGCAGTGCAGTGGTTAAAGAGAAGGAGTTAGAGTTTAGACTGCAGGTGCAGTCTTTTTATGAAGTCCTGAGAGTGAATAAGGTGGGCAGGAGAAAAAGTGCCAAGATAAGGAGTCAGAGTTTTAGCAAGCCTGGAGGCATGAGGATAGCCGACAGAGCCCCTTGAAGAAATGCTAGGATGAAGAGGAACACCAGGTTTAAGAATCTTAGGTAGACTATAGAAATAAGGAAGAGAAGAGTAGATGACATGAAATTGTTTTATTAGATCGAAGTCAGGAGGACAAGACTAGAGATTTGGCTTAGTAAGCAGCTGAAGGAAGTTTTAAGGCGATCCAAAGGGTTAGAAGCCAGAGGAGCATATGTGCGGAAGTCAGAGGGCAAGACATTAGCTTTCTGGAGATAGTCCACACGGTCAGAACCCAAATGAAATATATGGTAGTCCATATGTAATGAAACATTATAGTAGACCAAACAAGTAAGGTTTGGTCTCATATGTTTCATTACACTAAACTGAAGGTATTACCAGAAGGGTTCAAAATCATTCTACTTTCACACCCACGACACTTATACATAATGACTTAAGTGGTTAAGAAAGACACGGTTTCTGTAAGAATATGCATATTTTATAAAAAGCAATGAAAGCATTGGCCTTCAGAACTTTTGTTGATCATACTCACTATCAGCACCGTAAGTAGCCACAACATCCAAAAACTCTGCAAAATCTTTCCTTTGCATGAAGCTGCCCTTCTTCAACATAATTCCCTTGGGAAAGAATGTTTGGTCAAAGGGTGTAGCACCATCCACTTTAGTGATGTTGGATTTCTTCAGAGCTTCTTCAAGCTGCGCTGATACATTGAATCCTCGCCTATGGGAAAATAAATAAGATACTAACTTGAGTATCATGACACGGTACATCATTAATCACTAACATCATAGCAGCATGTGCATGCAAAAGGCTTAGTTAACACTTTGATGCTCTGGGCATGCATGCACCGCACTACTCCGGGTGGGTTTGGGCATTCTGCGGGAGCGCGCGGTAATTCTGAAAAGTGTATAATCTTTTCAACTTTGTTACCTCAATTCTCGTCCTAGGTTTTTCAATGTGGTATCATTGTGTTCGCAACAGAATTCTTTACAGGACTAAAGGCATATTAAGTCCAAATGCCCAGCGTACCATCCGCAACAAACAGAGAAAGTGAGAGCGTGTTACACGGGAGCTCGCAAGACCGATAAAATGTGTACACCCCTTTCATTTTGGTCACCTCAATTCTCATCTTAGGTCTTTCATTTTGGTATCAATGTGTTTGCAATAGAATTCCCAACAGGAGTATATGCAAATAATGTCAAAAACAGTGGCGCACTCCACCCGTCGACCACTTTGGACATTTCAATTCTCGTCCTAGATCTTTTATTTTGGTGTCATTGTGTTCGCAATAGAATTCCCAACAGGAGTATATGCAAATATAAAGTCCAAAAGCCCGGCGTCCCACCCACAGCAAACAGAGAACGTGACGGTGCGTTAGCGCAGTGAGCGCTAATAAAGAGCAATAAAATGGGTATACTCTTTTCAACTTTGTTACCTCAATTCTGGTCCTAGGTCTTTCATTTTGGTATCATTGTATTCGCAATGAAATTCCCTACAGGTGTATATGCATATAATGTCCAAAACCGTGGCGCGCCCCTCCCGAAGCCGCCGCCAATTTGCAACCGGAAACGACGCAATGCTGCGTCGTTACCGGACTACCCCCGAGTAAAAGAACAACGCAATGCTGTGTCGTTACCGAGCGGAAGTGTTAAAATATACATAAATAATAACTTTCACAGTGTAATTAAAAATTTTCAGATGCATTTTATCAGTATTTTTATTAATCATAGTTACTGCACAAAGTAATCACAATATTGTGATATATCAATGAGAAAATCAAAAGGAGTCATTAGTACCAAGTTTTTCGTTGGAATACATCTCAGAGATCCTACTGATTTTCTCATGGATACATCATGTTAATGTCATTTCTTTGTGCATTTGAAGAGAAGCATTGAAGGTAGAATGCCTATACCACAGCCAGGCTATTGTGGGCAATGAGTAAAATCCTGACATAGCTTCAGTGGAAGCTTCAGAACCAATAGAGGGTTCAGTTGAATCCCAGGTTTCATTGCTTTTGAGCATGTCGTTGTTAAGTGATCTAAGGCGAGTGCTTGATTTGAACCCTGTATGCAGAGTTCAAATCCTACTCATGGTTCCTATTGATTATCTCAATCATAGTTACTAGTGTACTAATGACTGCTTTTCCTTAAAGAATGAGACATTAACTTTAACTGAATAAACTGAAGTAATGAAATAGGGAAAGCTGAATCACAAGATTTTTTTTTCATAAAAAACCAGCGTTGAATGTAATGAAACCCCATTTTATGGGTGAGACCTGGAGGCTCCCCGGAACTATCCAGACTGATATGAATGTATTAGACCGTGGCATCAAAGTGAATAAAGTGCTGCTTACCAGGGACCACACGCCAGAACCTGGCCCCTTCAGAGAGGCACGAGGAGCAATGGCCTATAGAAACCTCCGTGTGGTTGGAAGCATTCTATGTCTGTCTTTTAGTAGCAATATTTTAACCAGAATATGTGTTTGTTTTGGGATGCTTACCTTTCTGGGTGCCTGACGATGGCAGACTAGAATACTTCCAACCACACGGTGGTGTCTATAGGCCATTGCTTGTCATGCCTCTCTGAGGGGGACCAGATTATTCTGGCTCGTGGTCCCCAGTAGGCCTAGCATTCCATGTGAATTGACCGATGCCAGGGTCAATACATTTACTGTATATCAGCTGGGTTAGCTGCAGGGAGCCAAAGAGGCACCCTCCAGGAAACCCTCTACGGAAATGGCGTTCCGAAGGCATCAGGGAAGGTAACCTTAACACCCAAGGGTAGTACTCTCAAGGCACCTAGGGAAGGCTGCCATAAGCGCAAACAGTCCCAGTACACTTAAGTACACCTGGCCATCACACCACGAACAGCAAAGGACACCACTAAGGCGAAACACTGCCAGGAAATCAAGGCCAGAGTCGACATCCGCCCCACATCGCATTAGCCAACAAAACTGGAGTTGCTGGGTAGCCGGCACAGGGAGGGGGGGGTCTGGGTCTTGCCCCTTCCCTCCCAGAAAGGGAAGGGCTGCGCAGACAAGCAAAGCTGTGGAGGAGTGTGACATTTGTTTGTTTCTTAAAAGTACTTGGGAGTTCTGCCTCTTCGTTCAGTCTTCGGTTGCAATTTTCTTACCATGTGGGATCTGTTTTGTTATGCCCACCTTTCTGGGTTCAAACCTCAGTCGATGTCAGACATGGAATGCCCCCAAATACATGAGGGGGTTTCCATAGGACATTGCTCCCTTTGCCTCTCTGAGGGGGCCAGGTTCTGGCCCGTGGTCCCCGGTAGGCTGAACTCCATTGACTAATGCGCATATTAGCCCGATAACTCCAGGGAGCCGAAGGAGCTCCCAACAGAAGCCCTGTCGGAAGGACCCAGAAACATCGGCGGGTGGAACAAGCCCGAATGCCTCTGTCCCCGTATCAAATGGGGCAACCCCCGGAGCCGTCAGTCTCATCCCCAGCTAAACCATGCCCCGGCTCCGAAACCCTCAGATGTTTGGGAGCCAGCAGCAAGGAGGAAGGAGGTGGGTGAACCACACCAACAAGAGGAGGATGAAGAGGTGCAGACTAAACCAAGGTCAAAGCGACGACTGCTCCCAAGTCCAGGTCCCTAAAACCAAAACAGGACAGACCCGGGGCATTCGAGCATGTAATCAACCTAATGCATTGCAGCAACCTAAACCTAGCATGTAACGTGTATGCTGCTTGACCCGTTACCTTGTTTTTCTTGGGGGGAGTTCTTGGGCTCTGTTCGATTGCACTTTTCCTACCAGTTGGGGTCTGTTTTGGGGGCACCTACCTTTCTGGGTGTCAGACCCCAGTCGATGGCAGACATGAAAACTTTCATACAAGGGAGTTTCATAGGCCATTGCTCCCTGTGCCTCTCTGAGAGAACCATGCCAGGCAGCTAACCACCCACCTTTCCACACACTAATTATAGTGTGTGGAAATTCAAATTATGTTGGTTGTGGTACAAAATTTTTTGGAAATGTTCACTTTTGGATTTCCCCTGTAAAACGTCATTTGATCCAGATGAGGGGTCATCCGGACATGGGTCCTTCCCATGTAGTCTGGATTAGCGAACTTCTATAGCACTATTCCTAAAGCCACTAGTATGCACAGCGTTTTGGGCAAAATATTAAGAAATAAACTTAAAAACTAAGATTTAAAACTAATTGAGATTAAAAGCATAAATTGAAATGAAGTTTAAAAAAAAAAAAAAGCGTTGAATGTGATGAAACACCAATATTTGGGCGAGCCCCAGAGGCTCCCTGAAGCTATCCAGACTGATATGTGCAATATTAGTTTGGGCTCATCAGTCATGGGAGTTCTATGCCTACCCAGGAACCACGAGTCAGAACCTGGTCCCCTCCGAGAGGCACAGGTAGCCCTCTACGGGCTACCTACCAATGGCCTATAAGCACTCTACATTTCGAGAATGTCATACTTGCCATCAACCGGGAAGGGCACCCAGAATGATAGGCAAAACAAAACCAACCACAGCTGGTGAAAATTGCTACCTACTTCCAAACAGAACATAAGAACTCCACCAAAGGAAGACAAACAAGCAAATCATCATCCAACTAGTGTGCACACTTGTTCGTGCCTCCCCCCCCCCCCCCCCACCCATATTGGAGGGAGGGGTATCCGGTCAGGCAAGCTAGTAGCTAACCCCACAAGTTCTAGAATGATGAAAAGCCTCTGGGGGGTAGCCCAGAAAATGGAGTTTCATTACATTCAACGATGGTTTTCTGTGGGAAGCCCAGTAGGCTCCATGAAGTTAACTACCTGACTTACACGGGAGGGGGTAGCACAGTAGGTCTCAAGACGACGCTCAGACATCAGGCCACGACAGACACCACAACGCAACACAAGGCCAGAGAGGGCTCAGAACGTTTGCAAGATACCTGGCCACCAGGACCTTGTTTGACCTTCAAAATTCCCATGCCCTAATGTCGACCCAAGACATATTTCCAAAACAGCTGTAAGAGCAACAAACTTCCGCACATCATGGGCATGAGGGTAGACTGCAGGCTGGCTAGATTTGATAACACTGTGGACAACCTGATACACACGAGTCCTAGAACAGGGATCCAGAGAAACTGGATCCAACTAGAGTGTGTCCACTGTTCCCGAACCAGTGGCCCGCAGGTAGCGATGTAAAGCTGCTACCGGACATAACACATGATGCACTCCCAGCCTAACCAAACAAGCATCCAATAATCTCTGAACCCCAGATGAATAGGAACGTGCCAATAAGCATGTAGGAGGTAAGCACCGAGAGGCTCCTGAACTTCCACATGGAAATTCTGTGATTCCTTGAAGAATCCAGGGAACCCAAAGGCACCCGGAACTGCACCCAGAGGTGTTGCCCACCCAACTCAAAGTCATAAAGGATAGGAGGGTATGAAAACCCCCTACCCTGCAAAGAGGGCACATGGGGGTTCAAATAGAACCCAAGAACTCCACTCGGACTCTACCCTGAGCCTCAGAAACCATAGGCAAAGGCTGCAGGGCAGAGCCCTCATCCACACCCATCACCCCAGAAGGAAAGGTGATTCCAGGGGAAAAGCTCCAAAGAAGGAGTCGACTGGATAGATTCAGAAGGTTCGGCAGCAAGAAAAGGCTCAACCACCTCCACACCTGAATCAGAAGGGGCAGCCCCTGAAGCCACCCGAGTTTCATTTCAAGTTAAACCCTGCCCCGACTCCGAAACCCTCAGACATTTGGGAGCCAGCAGCAGGGGTGGAAGAGAAGGGCAATCCCCATCTGGGAAAGAAGAGGAGGCGTGAACTGAACCAAGACCGAAGTGACCAATGCCCCTGAATCTGAGTCCCTAAAGACCAAGAGGGACAGCTCCAGGGCTTCAAACCAGGCAACCAACCTGGCCCATTGCATCACAGAAAAATGTCTATGCAAGGCGGCCGCTGCCTGATCCCTCGGAATATTAGTTGGAGGATGAATAAATTGAAGCATAAGCAGGAAACAAGTCCCGCAAGAGATAGATTTCCTTGACGACAGAGCCAGAGTGCATGGGGAGATTGTGTGAAACCCTGGTTCGGCTTCAGTGGAAGCCTCAGATATCCTCGAGGGTTCAGTAGAACCCCAGGTTGCAATCCTTTTCATCATGTTGTGGCCTAGTTGTCTAGAGTGTGTGTCTGGGAATACCCAGTGCATAGGTTCGAATCCTCATCACGGCTCTAATGGATTTTCTCTATTATTGTTATTATTATTATTATTATTATTATTATGGGTTTCTCACCTGGCAATTTCAATGCTTGGTTCAAAGAGCTTTGCCCATGGTAACTTTCCATACTTGCTGTGAGCATACTGCAGACCTCGTAACAACCCAGGAACTCCAATGCTTTGTCCATCTATGAAAGAGGAAAGACTAATGAGGATATATATTGAAAATGGGTAAAAATGAGAAGCAAGTACTGAATTGTATGTTATTGTACTGTATTGTGAATCTACTTTAATAGGAAAATTATTAAGTTATTGGAAACTGGAAGCTAGTTTCCACTTTGTTTAGGAAATTTCCAATACATTATGTAGTTAGAATTTCAAAATAGTAAAGCATCCAAAATCTGAAATAGTTGTGCTTTGAAATGGAATAAAGCCCATCATAAATTTTGTTAAATTCTAGTAATCAATTCTAGAAATACATGTATTAAAATTCTAGATCCCTGTTAATTCCTATCATCCCATTATGCTAGCTTAACATGGCAAACCTGTATCGAAGCACATTTGTTGACCTAACGTTTTTGGATCATATAATGTGAATTACAGGATAAAGTCCTTGTAAAATTATATAAATACATTTATATAAATGTATGTTTGGGGTGTTGTTTGGGGAACATGAAGTTGTTTCTGCAGAAGGTATCCACTTGCCCCTTTCCTTTTATGCATGGCTGCTAAAGAGGTCACAAGTAGGTTGACCAGCGAACTCAACATCTGGTTCCTGGACGATGGCACCCTGGCAGGGACACAGGAGTCTTTTCTAGGGGATCTACAGCTAATGAAATCTAGGGGAGAGGAGTTAGGACTCGCCTTAAATCCATCAACGTGTGAAATCATCTCATCTAGCTAACCAACCACAGATGCACTACGAACCGTGTTGCCAGGAGCTCCAGTGATCACTCCCACCAACAGTGTGCTGCTAGGGGCACCTCTGGGCTCGAGAGCAATTCAGGTAATCCTTGAAGATAAGCTGAACGACCTGAAGAGTATGGATGGAAGAATAGGGGCTTTGGATGCCCATGATGCTTTGTACCTCTTCACAAGGTGCCTGGCTTTTCCCAAGCTTACCAATTTCCTAAGTTGTGCTCCCTACTTCAACAGTCCAAAATTAACAGAATACGACACACTCCTAAAATCAATAACCATGAAAGTGTTAAACCTTTCCGTGAAAGATGACCAATGGGACCAAGCAATGCTCCCTGTTAGACTCGGGGGTATAGGTATCCACAAGGCGACACATTTCATTTATTGTGTTCTCTAAATATTTGGCTTTCCAACAATTATTCCAAGACACTTCAGTTGGTCCCTTCCTTCTATGAGGTCTGAATGTTTTATATCCTATACTCCTTTTAAGGTTTTTTTTAAGATATATTCATACTGAAGTAATTGGCATTTGTTACGGTTGAACTTCACATTGTTTTCCGATGCCCATATACTATCACTTGTTGCGGCAAGGAGTGATTCTGTAGAGCATCAAGTTATAGTGGTGGCGCATGGAAAAACAGAATGGAGGGACTGCATCACTACAGTCGTCACACATCACACAACAGATTAATAACAATATTAACAAAATAATTAAAAGAAAAATAATTAAAGAAAAGAAATTTGCTCACAACTAAAAGGTACCAGGTTAAATTCCCGCAGTATGACATAAGTTTGAGTACTTTTCCTTTCACCTGATGCCTATGCTTACCTAGCAGTAAAAAACCAGCGTTGAATGTAATGAAACGCCATTTTCTGGGTGAGCCCCGGAGGCTCCCTGGAGCTTATCGGGCTAATGTATGTTATATTAGACCGGGACATTAGCTAAGGAGTTCAAACCTACCAGGGACCAGCGCCAGAACCTGGCCCCTTCAGAGAGGTTTCAGGGAGCAATGGCCCTGGAAAACCCCCTTGAGGTTGGGGTTTTCCTTATCTGCCATTGACCAGGGTTAGACACCCAGAAAGGTAGGCATAACAAAACAAACCCCACATGGTAAAAAACTAAAACAAAAAAACGAACAGAGAGGTAGAAACTCCCTACAATCCCAAGGAAACAAGCAAACAAGCAAACATCACACTTTACTGCTGCGCCGATCTTCCGCGCTGCCCTCCCCGTCCCGAGAGGGGGAGGGGGCAGCCCCAGACCTACCGCGCCGGCTGCCTAGCTTCAGTTCGGAAGCTAAGCTTCAACCAACACGAAAAAAATGCCGACCGGTGGGAGGGAGGGTTGCCAGGGAGCCCCCGGGGCTCACCCAGAAAATGGCGTTTCATTACATTCAACGCTGGTTTTCTGTGGGGAGCCCCTACGGCTCCCTGGAGCTTCATACCCAAAGAGAAGGAAAAGAAAGGGCTAACCCGGGAGGCGGCCGCCACAAACTCCGCAATGCGAAGTCGAGACAACAGGCTGCAACCTGCGACCCAAGACAACAAGAATGCACAGGAGCAGACACGCATAAAGAATGGGTGGCCAAGAACCTGTGCGACCCTCAAATCCCTGAGCCCGAAATGAGCCCTAGACATCAACACAGCAGCAAAAGCTGCAAACGTCCGAACAGCACTACAGGACAGACCGCAGGCTGGAAGACTGAAAAACTCTGCGGACGACCTGGGAGACCAGAGCCCTGAAAACAGGGAACGAGGGTAACCGGATCAAACCAAAGCGCATCCCCAGACACGGTACACAGGAAATGGCAAAAAGCGCAACAGGACAACACAGGACGCACCCCCGGCCAAACCAATCAAGCATCAATAACCCAAGAACCCCTCCGGAAAGCAGCCGTCTCGACCATCGCCAGGACGGAGAAAGGCTGCACACGTATAAATCTACCACCAGTACCAAAGAGCAGAAACCTGAACCGAAGGGGCTACCACAAACTGAGGAGAAGATAAGAAGGCACCCTGATCAAGGACCAGGATGGCTCAGGTGACGCATGAGCAGGCCGGAGGTGAAACAAAACACGACAAAGCGTACGAAACAGGGAAGATGTGACGTCCACCCCGAACGCAACCCGGAGCGGCTCCGCCAATGCCGCACAAAACGAGGTGACAGTAAGAAACATCAAATAACTGTAGTCCTGAAAACCCAAGAAAGGACAAGATGCAAAAGAGCATCAAACTTACAAAGAGCAAGAAAAAGTGCATAGAAACACCAGGAACGTCATACTGTAGCCAAGACGAAGCTCACAGGTGGGACACCGTCAACAAAGCCACCTGAACACCACAGAGATGGTGATACCCGCGTCAAAATACCAGACGCGAAAAGCCAAGGAGAAGGCCGAACCAGCCACGTACAGGACTGATCCGACCTGCCAAAAAAGGTGGAGCCGCGGGAAAACGCCCCGGGTTCGGACACCTATCAAGCAGCGTCTGAAAATAAAGCTGGGCTGGCCACCAAGGAATCATAAGGACTGCTCTCGTGGGAATGGGCTGCAACCAAGCCAGAACCCGAAGCAACAGCTGGACCGGGAGAAGAGGAACAGATACCCCCACCTCGAACAGTCCTGCCGAAAAGCATCCACCGTGAATGCCTCGCAAGCGGGTAAGGGCGCCACATAAAATGGGCGACGCCTAGACCACGCCGTCTCAAAGACGTCCATGGCCAGGAGTCCATACGTCCGGCAAAGCCAACAAAACGAGTTGGCGACAACTGGCCAATTCGCGAACAGAGGAATGAACCGAGACAGCTGTCCGCCAGGACGCAGGACACACCCCAGACATGAACCTCATGGTTAGCCAAACCCCGAGAATCCAGCAAACGAGCCACTAAGGAACCAACCCCAAAGGTCAACACCTAAGTGAAAACCCTGTGGTTCCGGCAAAGAACCGCCAGAGAACAATCCAAATGGAGCTGAATGGTAGAGCACCGAGTGACCCAAACCCTCCGAAGCGCAAACCAGACAGCCACGAACTCCCGAACCGTGCTGTGAGCCCGATGGACGGACAGACTCCACCATCCCCGCCGACCTGGTGAGCACTGGTCACAAAGCCCCAGCCGAGAGATGACCCGTCCGTGAACACATCGAGCAGAGGCTCGGGGAGGTGCCAAGGCACGGAACCCCGAAAACCCCAAAGAGGAAGCTGGTGATGCAGCACCAACACAAGATCCCCGGAGGAACGAACCCAACAATTGCAAGAGGCGGAAGGGGAGTCTCCGAAGGAACCAAACAGACGCCGAAGCCAAACCCGACCCTGCGGGCAGACCAGCACGTCGAAGTTCAGACTCCCGCACAACTGCTCGAGCAACCGCTGAGTAACCCGGGACCCCCTCATGAACAGCAGAAGGCGGGACCACAGCCGCAGTAACACTTCTGGAGGGAAAGACAAGGAGTGGCCCAATTGCCCTAAACAAGGCCCAGGTCCGAACCCGGGACAGAAACAGATGGAATGGCCTCCAGATCACCAGGAAACCACACCCCTGGCGAGCAGACAAGCGGACCGACTGGGAGCCCACACCAGTTAGTCGTCGAGGTAGGCCAGACACCGAATCTCAAGCAGACTCAGACAGGGCACCAAGATCCGGTAAAGATGCAAAAATACACCAAGTGCCAATTACAAAATAGGGAAGACAACAAAAGCGGCAAGCCTGAAGCCACACCACCAAGTGTGCCAGTCCCGGAAAACTGGAGAGGAACGTGCCAAGAATTGACCTGGAGGTTCAGGGCCACCATCCAGGCACCCGGCCCCAACAGAGGCCGGACAGGAGACAACAGTCCTCCGATGAGGGCATAGAATCCAGGGCGCAGACTGAAGTAGTCCAGAACACCATGTTTGTTTTGTTCGATTTCGTCGCTATAGTTCAGTGACCTACTGCTTCGAAATAATAAAATTAATCGATCAGTTCTAAAATAAGTATTTTTATAGCTCTTATTATTGTAATAATGTTGCTAAACTAAATATATAACCCAAAAATATATAATTTGATGTAAATCGAATATTTTAGAGAAATTTATGTTACTGGATCTGGCTTAAACACTAGCCTACTGTAGGGTGTATGTATAGACCTAGTCTGCGTTTGTATAGTATGCACCCAGTGCCCTTAGTTTTGTCTGTGATTAACGTACAGTATTTAACCTCCGGTGGAAGAATAATTGTGGAATTTACCATTTTTGGACTGCAGCTGTATTGTTATACAACAAAATGTCTCAGGGGCTTACTAATAGTGCCTTATTAATGCCAAAAATGAAGCAATATTTTGCAAGAACTTGTAGCAAAAAATCAACCAGCATGAGAACAGCCGTACCCACCACAAGAGCAGCCGTGCCCAGCACGAGAACAGCCATACCCAGCACGAGCACAGCCAAACCCAGCACGAGCACAGCCGTACCCAGCATGAGCACAGCTGTACCCAGCACGAGCACAGCTGTACCCAGCACGAGCACAGCCATACCCAGCACGAACACGGCAGTACCCAGCACTGGTACAACAGCAGCCAGCACCAGCTCAGAAGCAGCTGAAGCAAACACAGCAGCAGCAAGCACCAGCAAAGCTGATGCAAACATCTAGAAACATTGTGTGTAGCATGAACAGATAGAACAAGTGTTAAATTTAAGTGTGTACATAGTGTTAAAATTAAAGTTCCAGTAATTTTAGTGTACAATAGTTTTCATAAACTGTATTGTAGTACTCAACATACAGCAGAACTACTTAATCAACACAGTGTTAATGGTATAATACACTACAGTATGTATTTACTGTACAGCATTCACAACTCCATGAGACTTCAAGATGGACATAACTCCAACAATAAGGTAAATAACAAATTTAACACAGTATTTTTTAGTAGGGTAATAATATATAGGTACAGTATATAATATGATAATGCATTTTTATTTTTTTGAGATATATACAAGAGTTGTTACATTCTTTTACAGCCAATAGTACGCGTAGCGTTTCGGGCAGGTCCCTGGAATATGATCCCCTGCCGCGAAGAATCGTTAAATTCGTTATTGTGTACAAGAAAAAAAGACACTGATGCAAATGCCTCCTGAAGGTCACCGCTTGCAACGAATCCAACGCTCTAACGCACTGGGGTTGGTCCCATATAGTACGTTGAATCGAGGTTGTACTGTATATACATATTATGTATATACACATACACACAAGGTATGTTACACACACATGTGTATGCACATACACACGTGCACACACACACAGTGTACACATGTACATGCGTACACACACACACACATACACATGAAAAGAAATTTACAAGCCACCGACCAGTGGGGCAGAGAGCACCACGCCAGCCAAGTGAAGAAGGCACAAAACTGCATCAAAAGGCCCACCTTGACAACAAAACCTCAAAGTGCCAGCACGACCACAACACGTGGCAAGACCCAAAAAGATCAGTCTGCAAGCCAGGAACTCGTGTGACCCGGAACTCCAGAAGGCAGAACCGGGTCACACACGAGGAAACAAAGCCCCCTGAACCCACAAAGGGGGGCCCAAGAGGAAGAAATCTCTGGAACGAAACCAAAGAAACCAAAGGAACCCGGAATCGAACCAGGGGGAGCCCAAACCACCACATTTGCCGGCGGAGAAACACCACAGAAAGGCAAAGCACAGCCTCCAGACAGAACCCCCAGGGAAACGGTCAAAACAGACCAAAAACCCGAAGGACAAGGTGTGGGAGCAAGCATAACAGCCAGGGACACTGAGCCCAAACCCTAGGGCCCAGACCCAAAACAGACAAAATGGGAAACCCAGTGTAAAATCAACACTCAAACGTTCCCAGAGGAACAGGAAATGGGCAGAAAACACCAGAAAAGCAAAGAAACGGCAACAGGAGAATAAAACCCATGAAAAAGGTGAAAACTCACCCAAGAAGCTCACTCGCACACCTATGCGCATATAAACAAACCGCAATGCCGCCCTGGTGGCCACGCCGGGAAACCAGCAGACGAAAATGGCCGCCAGAACAGAGGGCTGTGACCAACGCTAAAGATACGAAAACACGCCAGCTAAAGTGGGAAGCAAGCAGATTGGATGGACGAAAAACTCCGCCCAAAAGCAGAAAACCAGGCAGGGGCAAACCGCCCGAGAACTGAACAGAAGGCATCCCCCACAGCCCCGGGAACCAACAACAGTGGCCCCGGGGCAGAGGCGTCCTCCAAGCCCTCCGCCCTTAAAGAAAAGAAAGAGCCCATGAGAAAGGCAGCAAGAAAAGGCCACTGGTAAGACCCAGAAGCCTTGGCAGGAGGAACAGGCTCGAAAACCTCCGTCCCCCAACCCGAACGGGGCAGCCCCCGAAAACTGCCCAAGTCTCGGCCCCAACTAAACCCCGCCCCGACCCCGAAACCCGCAGACGGTCCGGAGCCGGGAACAGGGAGGGAAAGGGGCGAACAGCACCTAACCAAAACGGGGCGACCTCGGGGCATCCGAGTGGAAAACCAACCTAGCATGTTGCAGCAACCTAACCTAGCTTGCAACACGGATGCCGCCTGTACTCTGAACAATAACAACATCAGGCGAGTACTGGAGAACAAGCAGAGGAAATCTCTCGCAAGACTCTGGGTCAAGGTGTCAGTGACCCAACAGGCAACATGACGGAGGTAAAAGTGGCGACTATCACCCGGAGACAAGGGCACAGCAACCAACGATCCCGTACAAGACGGGTTGGAACCCGGAAGACACATTCAATGGTCCACCGAGCCCAGACAGAGGTTTCCAGGGCCCATAGACTGACTGCTACGGGAAGCCCGGGCAAGGTATTGCTAACCAGTTAAGAAACCCAAAAATAACATGTCCCGGTTGACATTAGCTTACGAACTGAAGCTAGGCAGCCAGCGCTGTAGGTCCGGGGCTCCCACCTCCCCCTCTCGGGGCGGGGAGGGCTGTGCAGACGATCGGCACGGCAGTAAAGTGTGATGTTTGCTTGTTTCCTTGGGATAGTAGAGTGTTTCTACCTCTCTGTTTGTTTTTTTGTTTTAGTTTTTTACCATGTGGGGTTTGCTTTGTTATGCCTACCTTTCTGGGTGCCTGACCCCGGTCGATGGCAGATAAGGAAAACCCCAACCACAAGGGGGGTTTTCCAGGGCCATTCCTCCCTGAAACCTCTCTGAAGGGGCCAGGTTCTGGCGCTGGTCCCTGGTAGGTCTGAACTCCTTAGCTAATGTCCCGGTCTAATATAACATACATTAGCCCGATAAGCTCCAGGGAGCTGTAGGGGCTCCCCACAGAAAAAAATAGCTTGCAGTTATGCAACTGTTGTGGGTTACATCCTGGCAAAGGTCAACAGATGGACCTAAGGAAAACCTCAATAAGCCTAACAGGCTTTCTGCTCCCAACAATGGAAAACCAGAAATAAATTCTAATATTTTTAAATACTTTCCATTCTAGAATTTGTTGGATTTTGGATGCTGAATGGTATTTAACTACAATATCAGTCTCTAAATATTAGGCATGGAAAGTCGTTAGCACTTTACCAGTTTCATGGGGCTGAGGGTCATCATGCTTGTGGCTTCGTGGAACACCACTCATAAAGTCCAGTACAGTAGATGTGTTGGTCTTGTGGTCACGTATCAACATTACACCACTCCTAAATATTGTAAATAATGTATTTATTTAAAACATTAAACAAATAAGTAAAACACATGAAAATAAACAAAAATATTACAAGCAACAGACAAGTAATTCAACAAACTGGCACACTCTGAAACACCTGACTTGTAAAGTATAAAGCCAGCGTTGAATGTAATGAAACGCTATTTTCTAGGCGAGACCCGGGGCCAGGTTCTGGCCGTGGTCCCTGGTAGGCTCTAAGAACTGCATACACATGACTGATGCCAAAGTCTGACATTAGCATATTAGCCTGGGATAGCTCCAGGGAGCCGACTGGGCTCCCCCCAGAAAAATAATCAAAACTAAAATGTAAACTCCAATATAATTGAATCATCTTCATTATGAGTTGCTAAAGAAAACTCAGCATTGAATATAATGAAACACCTCTTTCTCGAAGAGCCCAAGTGACTCCCAGAAGCTAACTCTCTGAGACTGCTCCCTCACCATCTGGTCACCACTTGGTCCGGGAGACATCTCCCATCACGCAGGGTGCAGTCGCGCCTCCACAGATCTCCAGTATCAGCTCTTGATACTGGTAATGGCTCAAAAGGGCCACCACTTACGAGCTATTCATGCCCGTGCCCCCTTTTAGGTGGCTTCATCTTCATCAATCAATTCAATCTGTTTAAATCACGGAAGACATCTTCCGTCACGCAGGGTGCAGTCGCACCTCCACAGATCTCCAGTATCGTCTATTGATACTGGTGATGGCTCAAAAGGGCCACCACTTACGAGCTATTCATGCCCGTGCCACCTTTTGGGTGGCTTCATCTTCATAACACATTCACAAGGGAGACATCTCCCGCCATGCAGGGTGCATTCGCACCTCCACAGATCTCCAGTATCAGCTCTTGATACTGGTAATGGCTCAAAAGGGCCACCACTTACAGGCTATTCATGCCCGTGCCACCTTTTGGGTGGCTTAATCTTCATCAATCATCAATGCTCCCTCAAATGGATAACATCAGTTGCAGGAGGTTTATTTGGCCTGCTGGGACTTGACCCAGAAGCTGGCCTACCTCACTTTTTTTATTATTAATTAAATTAAATATTAATATAAGGCATTAAATATGCCAAAACTGGAAGACAAGAAAAAAGAGGTGATATGATCACTACATACAAAATAATAACAGGAATTGATAAAATCGATAGGGAAGATTTCCTGAGACCTGGAACTTTAGGAACAAGAGGTCATAGATATAAACTAGCTAAACACAGATGCCGAAGAAATATAAGAAAATTAACTTTCGCAAACAGAGTGGTAGACGGTTGGAACAAGTTAGGTGAGAAGGTGGTGGAGGCCAAGACCGTCAGTAGTTTCAAAGCGTTAAATGACAAAGAGTGCTGGGAAGACGGGACACCACGAGCGTAGCTCTCATCCTGTAACTACACTTAGGTAATTACAGAGGCACAAGAAGCGTGGGACAACCCACCACCCCACTGGAAAAGTATCTAGAAAGCCAGAAGCTTCACATAAAGCTGGAGGTTTCACAGAAAACAAAGCCTTGAAACTGCAAACAACTCTGCATACAGCTCAAATCAAATAATAGAAACATTCATAACTCGCTGAAACTAGTTCTTAAAGAAAACTGGCACTAAACGGCCAAGTCCAAGTCCACGGTAGGTACCCCTGATCAGTTCTGGAACCGATGAACATCCCATAAACATTCCGACAATCCTGAAATGGAGGAAATCAGGGAGCCACTGGAGCTCTACTAGAAACGGGAATTTCATCCCATTCAACGTCGAGCTTCTTGGGGAGACCCCGGTTGCTCCCTGACACTAACTAACAATGAAGAACGAAAACATGGGACTTACCATGGAGGAGGATGAGAAGTGGCAGGTACTACAGTGAAGGAGAGAATCCATGCTGGGAATCATGGCCCAAAGCAGCACAAAACCAACTGGGACAAGAAACTTTGACAAAATGCCAGGCTGCCAAAACCATGTTAGAATGCCAAAACTGCTGTGCATGAATATCAGGCTAGGACATGTTTGAAAAGACTGCTGCCAAGGCAGCGTACTGGCGAACATCGTGTGCCTGGGAGAAGACAATAGGCTGGTTAGACTTAGTGATCCTGATAGATGACCAGGGAAAATATAAGCCTTGGAATAGGGTACCAAAGAAATTTAATCAACTTACAACACACTAACCTCGGCAGAAATAGTAGCTTACTGAATGCAGTTGAAAGCCGACACTGGACACAATACAGTAAATGATGGCAAATTGCAAGTAAAGGATAATATTCAGAGGTTGAAAATGGGAAACAGATTCATGGAAAATGAAATGTGTGAAACATTAAACGAACAGTACCAAACTGTGTTTGTGCAAAATTAAATCTTCAGAGAGCCAGACACAATAAGAATTCCAAAGAACAACATAGAGGTGTCTAGAGACGAAGTGGATAAAATGCTCAAAGAGTTAAGTAAGAACAAAGCAGATGACCCAGATGGAGTTTCACCATGGGGTTCTAAGAGAATGTGCACCTGAGCTCAGCATTCCACTTCAATTTATTTGACAGGAGTCCTAGCTGATAGCACAAGACCTTGCAAACTTGTTTTGAGAGATTCAATCATTTGATCCTTACACCTCTGAGAGGAAGGGGGCCAGATTCTGGTTCTGGTCCTCAGCAGACTGAACTGAACTCCATGGCTGATGCACTCTAGAAGTTAGGAACAATCTTAGCAAGATAGTTTTAAAGTGTCACCAGAGCTCACCCAATAAGGAGTGTTTTGTTACATTGAACATTTTTTTTTTTAATCTATGCTCTAGAAAAATTTTAATTTATGAACATTCAGACACCAAATTTATATTTATACACAAAAATAATTTACATAAAATAAAAAGAATTCTATACAAACAATTTGGGCATTACTGAGTGGGGCTTCGAGAGTCTTGGAACGTTTAAAGTCAGACATGCAGCAAGGAATCAGAACACTAAAATGTTAGGTACTGTAGCTCACCAGGCCTCTGAGATCCATGCTGACTTACTGAAAATCAGTACCATAATTTGACTATGATGGAACAAATTATTAGAGCTTTGTTTCTGCCTCAGACTTACCCTCCTGGTCCTACTGTGTGTGGGTGAACAACAGCCATACACAATATAGAAGCTATAGACACATCAACAGCACTCCCACCATCTCTCATAATAGTGATTCCCACACGGCTACATTCCTCTTCATCCGTGGCAACGGCTCCATGAGGGGTTACCTAGAAATAGCAAGTTGTCAACACACTACAGTATAATCATAAAAATAAGGCATCGAGAGAATTTAAATGCACCTTCCTGAGTTCTCCTTTGGTTCCTCCCTGAGCCAGGGTTTTACACAGGTCACATTGAAGATGGGACATTGGCCTGCACCCCATAGTTACCAAGAACTTACAACATAATGGAGAGGGAAAATCTAACACCAAGAGAGAGACCAATCACTATTACACAGTAGTAGAAACAATTTCTCAACACTTCCTAGCAATATATGGCTTCACAAGATCACTCTCACCACCAGATATGTGGTGTTTGTTAATAGCTAACATCAATCTTATCTAAGCCATAATCTTGTTTGGTGGTTTATGAGGCATACTCAGTTGTGGGCCAACACCTTCCATCACACCTGGGGCCAGATTCACGAAGCAGTTACGCAAGTACTTACGATCGTGTACATCTTTCTTCAATCTTTGACAGCTCTGGTTACATTTATTTACAGTTTACAAGCATGAAAATGTCTCAATCAACTGTTGCTATTGTTTCTAATAGCCTCCTGGTGCTTTGGAACTCATTAACTGTTTAATAATTGCAAACAAAGCCACCAAAGATTGAGAAAAGATGTACAGATTCGTCAGTGCTTGCATAACTGCTTCGTGACTCTGGCTCCTGGTGTATACCTGGAGTGATAAGGAAAGAAAAAGGAGAAAGGCTGGGAAGAAAAGGGGCCCGCTGGTCAGACCCAGAAGCCCCGTTTGGCGGCAGGCAACAGGGCAAACAACAGGGGAAGGATGAGGGAGACCGGACGAAACTAAAATCGAAGTAACTAACGCCCCCAAGTTTGGGTCTCTATAACCAAAGCGTGGCAGCTGTGGGGCATCCGGAAAGACAACCAACTGAGCATGTTGCAGCAACCTACACCTCGCATGCAACACCGATGCTGCCTGCACCCTATCAACAGTATTATCAGACTGGGTGAATTGGAGAACCACCAATCAACACCACTCGCAGGACTCCAGGTCAAAGGAGTCATCGACCCAACAGGCAGCATGATGGAGGTAAAAACAGTGTCACCTGGAGACAAGGCGACAGAGCAACCTTCAAACTCGCACAAATCAAGATGGGACCTAGAGAAAACATCCAATGGACCAATGAGCCCCAGTGTGGTTTTCCAGGGCCCTTAGACTGACTGCTAAGGGAAGCCCAGGCAAGGTACTGCTAACCAGTTGGCCCAAACTACCGAGAGAACTAGTAAAGCTGAATCCCTGCGGCGTGTACAATCACAGGGGCCTAATAGGGGACCACCAGAAAAACAGAGGGGAAACTATGACCAAGGGGCAGACCCCCACCAGACAAAAAGAAAAAGAAAAGAAAACCCTGCAAAAGTACAACATTTCCAGGAGGAATAGAACCGGCCACTATGATAATAGTAGACAAGCTGTACGGTATCTTGTGTAGTGACGATACTACCTCCTACCCAAGGTCAAACAGCAGCTAAGAAAACTCCAGCTGACCCCAAGGTCAACCCAAACCACATCTCTGGCCACCAAGGCCGTGGCACACAGGTAACGACGAAGAGCTGCAACCGGACACAACACATGATGCACCCCCGGCCGAACCAGCCAGCATCAACAACCCAAAAATCCCTCCGGAAAGCCGCAGTCTCATTCTTTGCCAGAAAAGAAGATGGCTGCAACCCAACAGACCTACCAACAGGACCAAAAGATCAGAAACCTCTGCGCCAGAGGTAAGCATAAAGCTCCCCAACCCAACCCTCAGAGGCCAATGCCAACAGGAAAAGAGCCTACGCAAAACAATCTTGAACCGAGGGGGCCACAACAAACCAAGAGAAGATAGAAAAGAGAGCACCCCGTCCAACGACCAGGATGGCTCAGGGGGCGCATGAGCAGGACGGAGGTGAAAACACATGAGACATTGCGAAACAGAGCAAAGTAACATCCACCCCGAAAGCAAGCTGAAGCGGCTCTGCCAGCACTGCACGATACGAGGCGACAATATTCGGCATAAGATGGTCCTGAATCAACCAAGAAAGGAATGACAAGACAACCCGAACCGAAACAGAAGAAAGCCTACAAAGGGACAAGAAATAACGAAAGGACTGCCAGGAAACTTCACACTGCTGCCAAGACAAGACACGCAGGTGGAATACCATCAATGAAGCCACCTGCCCACCATACAAATAGTGACAGAAATGCGTCAAAAAGACCAGACACGAAGACTTGAGAAGATCGAACCAGCTACATAACTCACTGGCCCAATCCGCTGAATGAGGCAGAGCTACGGGAAGACCCCCGGGTTTGGACACCGATCAAGCAGCGCCTGAAACCAAGGCTGGGCCGGCCACTATTCTCCCCTGTTAAGTCTCCAAGCGAGCTAAGACTTGGAGTAACAGCAGAGTAGGGGGGAAGAGGTACAAGTAACCCCACCTCAACCAGTCCTACGTGAAGTCATCGACCCCGACGGCCTTGCAGTCGGGAAAGGGTGCCACATATATTTGGAAACGCATTGACCCCGCTGAAGCGAAGAGGACCATCTCCGAGAGCACATATGTCCGGCAGAGACAACTAAACAAATCAGCGTCGACTGTCCATTCCGTCGACAGGGAAATGAACAGAGACAGGCTGCCCGCCAGGACGTTGGACACTCCCCGAACATGAATGTCCAGGAGAGCCAAACCGTGAGAACTCAGCAGACGAGTCACCAAAGCCCCAAAGAGTCAAGGACAGTATTGAACTCCTGCAGTTCAGACAATGAACCACCAGGCAGCAGTCCGAATGGAGTCGGATCGTTGATCCACGAGTGACCCGAACCCTCCAAAGTGCCCGCCACACCGCCACGAACCCCCGCACTGTGCAGTGGGCCTGACGGAAGAACAGACCCCCACTGCCCCTGGCCGGCCTTGTGAGCACTGGTCACAAAACCCCAGTCAAGAGACGACACATCCATGAACACATCAAGCGAGGGCTCAGGTAAGCACCTAGGCACTGAACCCCGAAAAAAACGAAGAGGAAGCTGGAGATGCAGCAGCTCCACGGAGCAGCAGGGGCAGTGAGGTGCCCACAAGCCGAACCCAGAGATCGCAAAAGAGGTGGAGAGACGATCCCGGGTAAGATGCATGAATACGTGAGATGCCAGATTCAAGCCAAAAAGAAAACAAGGAAAGCGGTAAACATGACCCCCACCACAAAGCCTAACCAGTCCCTGAACCCCAGGATGAATGGGAACATGCCAATTATGCATCCCTGAGATCCAGGGACACCATCCAGGCACCCAGCTCCAAGAGAAGGAGGACCTGAGACAGAGTGGTCATCCAAAAGGAAGGGGCAAGGAATCCAGGGGTTCAAACGGGACAAGCCCAGAATGAGCCGCAGATCCAAAGTCCTGTTTCGGCACTAGAAACAGTCGGGAAACCCACCTGTGGGGTCAGGGTCATTTCGACCACACCCAAGCGCACTCCAAGATGACCTGACGGATCGTGGGGGGAAGAAGCCGGCCTCGCTAGCCCCGAACCCCCCAAAGGAGGAGCTACTCAACACTACCACAGGCAGAGGAGACGACCCAAAATGCCCACGAATCGTGGGACAAGGCATGAGGAAACAGCACAAGCCTTCCTCCCATCGGAACTTCAAAGGGGCAACCCGCGAAAGGGCCGATGCCCCTGACGAGAAGCCAGCTGACGATCATTGCGCCAACCAGACGACGCCGGCTCTGAAAAAAACGTTAACTCAGAAGCTGGCACCAATATCCCACCCCAACCTGCTGAACCCCAAGCTCTGGCAAGAGCCTTCTGTGAAGGCCGAAAATGGCCACCCCGGAGAACCAACAAGTTCGACAAAGGACGAACTTGTTGGTTCGTCCATCCACATGTAGACGAAGCCGCCTGCAGAAACTGTGCGACAGCAGTCTCCGCTAACTGCACAGTTCAAAACATCGATGAAAAGCTAAGATCCAGGCCCAAACTGATTCCAAAGAGAGAGATAGCACAGTCTGCCGGCACGTGAGGGAAGAAGCAAATGAACAGAGACACTGCCTCCTTGAGAATCAGAGCAAACAGCTTAAACAGCGTGGGCCGACGCCCAAGCCGCCGAGGCCAGCACCCCAGACAAAGGTCCGCAACTAAACGCCCCCACATCCTTCTCAAACCAGTCTGAGGAAAGCTCAAGAAGCCAAAAAGAAGCTCAAGAAGAGCAAAACCGAAGTCAAATGCCAATGGGCGCACAATCCTCAGCAACCTAAAACGCCGAAGGGGAGGGAACCTGAACATGCTGCTGCACAAGGCCAACATTCCTAGGCTGCACAGGGGCAAACAAGCACGCATTAAGGCGCTCAATCTCGCCCTTCAGGTAGACTTGCAAAATGGTATAAGTTTTTCTTCTCACTGACCCCAAGGGCGGGGTAAATGCTGAGCAGCAAAAACCCCTACAGAAATGACATCCCGAAGGCACCAGGGAAGACGACCATAACACCCAAGGGTAGAACTCACAGGGCATTTAGGGAAAGCTGCCTTAAGTGCATGTAGCCCCGGTACACTTCAGGTACATCTGGCCTCCACACCACGAAACTGCAGAGGACACCACTAAGGCAAAACACTGCCAGGAAACTGAGGCCAGAGTTGACGATCGCCCCAGATTCCATTAGCCAACAAACTGGAGTGGCTGAGTAACCGGCACGGGGGTCCGGGGCTCCCCCATCCCCCCTCCCAAGGAGGGGAGTGCTGCTCGGATGAGCGGCGCAGCAGCAAGGTGTGACGTTTGCTTGCTTCCTTGGGATTTGAGGGAGTTCTGCCTCTCTGGTTTTTGGTTGCAATTTTCTTACCTTGTGGAGTCTGTTTTGTTATGCCTACCTTTCAAGATGCCTAACCCTGACTAATTCCTGTCAATGACAAACTTCAGTGACTAATGCCCTGGTCTAATATATCACATATTAGCCCAATAGCTTCAGAGGCCAAAGAGGCTCTCCACAGAAAAAAAGACAATACTTGCTGCTTCCTAGTACAGGTATCTTTAGTGTGTAACCTTACCTCTGGGTTACCATAGTGTATCTGGATAATAAGAGCAACTGTAATGGCAACAGTAAGAATGGAAAAACATGTGCCGATGATGGTGAAGCTGTCCCCATCGATGTGACAACAGCGGCGCTTCTTGGTAGGATAGAGGGCATATGACCGAAGAACTGTATCTTCTGTCAGGTAGTCTCCACCTAAAAAAATTAATAATTTGTATAAAAAAAAAATCACACAGTTAAAAAGATCACATTTGGATAAAATCTCGTCTCTAGACACTTAAAGATATTCATCTTCTATTGGAGGGGCAAAAGACCCAGGGGTTCAGACAGAACAAGTCCAGTATGAATCGCAGATACGCACAGTCCCGTTTCAGAACTGAAAACAGGCTGGAAACCCACTCCAGGAAACTCACACAGGCGGGTATGACCATAGCTGCTGTTCAAGGGTTACAGATAATTACGTGTTATAGCTGTTATAGAACTGTGAAAATGGCTGGTCAGCTCTAAGTGTTGCCAAGAAATTTGGTATGGTCACTAATAATCCAAGATATAAAGAAACAAAAAGATGAATAGATTTTAACCAGTGAGAGTGAGGGTGCAAGTACTAGCAGAAAATACTTTGAAGCCTCCACGCAAATGTACAGTTGGATGAGGCTGTGTACAAGTGGTTTGCACAGCACCACACAGCTTGTGTAACAATTCACAGTGCAACAAATTAGAAATATTGCAAGCAGGTTTACAGCCAGTCAGTGAACCCTCACCAGAAAGCCAAGAGCCTTCAACCAGTGAAGCTTTAGCAATGGCAGTCAAAACAGACTGCCAAGATCATGTTCTATACAGTAATTTTAGTGTTGCATTAGGTTATGTAAATTTTCAAGAAGTATTTATTTGAAGATATACATTGCTGTATAGTACTGTATGTAGCATCAATTAAAAAAAACTACAACAGGGCAAGCTGAAGTTTGTTTTAAATTACAGTACTGCAATGGTATATTTTTAAATTAGTGTGGAAATTCAAATTACAGTATATTGGTTGTGCTAAAAAAAATGCAAATATGTTCACTTTTGAAACTTCTTATCTGGCAGAGGGTCCATCCCATATAATTCAGATAAGTGAGCTTAGACAGTACTGTATCATCCTTTGCAGAAGACACTAGAATTTTCATAGAATAAACAACATAAAGGATGCTACAAACCTTCAATCAGCTGTCTATTTATTTATTTATATACAAGAAGGTATATTGGGTTGAGAGAGTACATAACATTAGTGTTCTTATGTTCTTGCAAAGCCACTATTATGCAGAGCATTTTGGGCAGGTTCTTAATTTAACAGATAGAGATAAGCTTATTAATAGTTACATTGCAGAAAAATTTGAGTTCAACATAATAACTACACTATAAATTGTAGTTTTTAGATTAGATTTAGATTAGATTTTTATTCAAGTAAAGGCACATACATAGAAAATGAGAAACAAACAATGTTGGATTTAAAGATAGAGCTAGTACATACAATACTAAAGCCACTAGTACGCATAGCGTTTCGGGCAAGGTGTGGGTGGGGGGGGAACCACTTAGACTAAAACTTAAGACTAATTGAAATTAAAGTATAAATTGTGTCGAAAAAAGGAATAAAAAAAGGGGGAGCGAACATGACAGAAAATAACAGTATACAAGTTGGTCAACAAACAGCATTGTTTAAAAATAGCAGGACATGCATTGATATTTAAAGGCAAGGTAAGTTACGTGGCATTTATTAGGTAGTACAGTACTTAGTTTTTAGTTGTCCCCTAGCTTCCCTTGCCACTTCGGGGGGTATACGGTGTTTATGTAGCTTCAGCGCACCATTTCCCCCCAGCCACTGGACATGGCGAGAAGGCACCCTAAGCATACCTAATTCCTTATCAAACACAAACTAAAATACACAAATAGCAGATCTCAACACAACCCACAAGAGTTAAGATAATAATAACATACAATAATAATCATGGTAATAATAACACACACACAAAATGGAAAATATCTTTTGTATTTTGTTTTTCTTATATGGGACACAGCACACAAAGGGAGAGGTGCACAGTATATCATTAAAAAGAACTATGGACTGGGGTTACTCTTGCTTTTTTTTTATAATATCTGGAAAGGTTTGGATTTCAAGTGATTTGTTAAAGAGCAATGCAATGGCAGGAGTTAGTAATCTAGAGGCTTTTTTGTAAATTAGAGATGGTATCTCATCAAGGGCACTAGACTTTGTTTTAAGGGAAAGGATTATCTCATTAACATCAGTAGAGTTAGTAGGAGTTAGGTACATAGACTCTGGATAGTTACCTGTATGGTAGTCTTTAATATTAGTTAGGGAGGATGGAATATTATGAGCAAGGGATGTCCCAATGGATGAGAAGAGCCTATTGAATTCATTAGCAGTGTCAGAGGCTGAAAGCACATCATCATCATTGGATAGGAGTACTATATTGGTTTTTTATTCAAAATCTCTTTAGATCCTAATATTTGGGAAATAGTGCTCCATGTTTTCTTAATGTTGCCCTTAATTTGGGTAAATTTATTTTCATATTTTATTTTGGCTCTTCTAATTATTTTAGACAGCATTGATGAGTAAATTTATTTATTTATATATATATACACAAGAAGGTACCTGTACATTGGGATTGTGACGATACATAGCATAGTGATTACATTCTTGTAAAGCCACTAGTACATGCAGCGTTTCGGGCAGGTCTTTAATCTAACAGAGAATTTTAAGTAGATAAATACTAGTAAAATTTTTAAAATGATAACAGGTACATTGAAAGAAAAAAATGAGATGAGAGATTTGTAGGTACTGTATATTAAAGCACATAGGTAGCTCAGATTGATTGCATTGCATCTATAAATCAAATCTTTGAAAATTCTTAGTGGTTATTTAATGCACTCATAATAACGATTATATTACACAATATATTGGCATAGAGGCTTCTGCACTCCATGACTGCCAAGCTACTGGACGCAATTATAAAAACACGTATATCTTCACTTGAGCTCTAAATATGTCAATGGTAACAATTTAAAATGAAGATTATATTTCTTTCTTGAAACATATAAAATATTCAAATTCAAAATTCAAATTTTTATTCAGGTAAAAGTACATACATTGATGAAGAGTTATAAACATAATGTTGGATTTATAGAGTACATACAATACCTAAAGCCACTAATACGCATAGTGTTTCGGGTAAAATTTAAGTTTACAGTACTATTACACACTGAAATCACAATAGTGTGATGCATCAAATGAACAAATCCACAAGGGCCATGATGAGGATTCGAACCTACGATCGAGAGCATCCCAGATGCTGCCTTAATCGACTCAGCTACGACATAAAAAAAAAAAATAAATAAATAAAAAAAAAAATAAAAAGAGTTGAAACCAGACGTTCTACTGAACTTACTTGGATCCTGCAGCCTCTCCAAGACACAAACTAGGATTTTACCCTGGTTTGTGTCTCGACCCAAACCAGGGTAAGGCAGCGTCTGGGGTGCTCTCGGAAGTAGGTTCGAATCCACATCACGGATATTATGGATTTGTTCATTTATGTTTATCGTTTTAAGTTTATCAACATATTTACATGAAATAAACATTGTTCTGAAAGAGTTGTTCTGTTGATCGATCTATTAGTCTGAGCGCGCGATTATAAAAACACACTAAGCTACTAAGTGGCTCCCAGAACTGAAGGGCAAGAGCTACAAGGAGAGGTTGATACCTGGTTGATGGGGTTCTGGGAGTTCTTCTACTCCCCTAGGCTAGAGGCATTAAATATGCCAAAACTTGAAGACAGAAGAAAAAGAGGTGATATGATCACTACATACAAAATAGTAACAGGAATTGATAAAATCAATAGGGAAGATTTCCTGAGACCTGGAACTTTAAGAACAAGAGGTCATAGATATAAACTAGCTAATCACAGATGCCGAAGAAATATAAGAAAATTTACTTTCGCAAACAGAGTGGTAGACGGTTGGAACAAGTTAGGTGAGAAAGTGGTGGAGGCCAAGACCGTCAGTAGTTTCAAAGCGTTACATGACAAAGAGTGCTGGGAAGACGGGACACCACGAGCATAGCTCTCATCCTGTAACTACACTTAGGTAACTTAGGTAATTACACGTATCTTTGCTCGAGCTTTAACCCTACACTGCACACCTGTTTTTGGCAAAAAACTTAATAGTGCAATTGTTAAGGACATATTTTTGTTTTTATAAATGTTCCGGTAAGGTTAATGTCAAAATGTTTCCAAACTCAACTATTTTCATTTCAAAAGTGATAAAAACATTTAAGAAACACTAAAATATAACCTAATTAAAAAAACGGACATATCTCAAAACAGCATTTGTTGTTTGGCGCAGTGCAGTGGTTTTTTATTTATTTATTTAAGGACATTGTTCCAATATGGTTGGACATTTTTGGAATACGATATATGGGTTGACCCAAATGACAGTTGGCTCAAATTCCAACATGGTGTCTAACAATACCACCCCCACAAGGAGCCTCTACCAACCCAAACACACCATCACTCCAAGTAAACTTTAGAGTAATATATCACCACCAACTTGACACACCTGAGAAACCGTCTGCTGAATTCTGGCCTAAAGTCATGATGTTTGGCAGACACCCATCAGTGGCCTTACTGCTGCTCCTCTATGACAGCTAAAGTAAAGTAACTTGCTCCAAGATGAAGATCAAGTCAGTAAGTGTCCTCCTTCAAGTAAAAGCAGGTCAATTATCTCTTCTACTGAATCAAGGCAGAACCAAGGATGTAACCCGACTTGTGGGAACGAGGAGCTGGGAACTTCAACGACTCATCCCTCGGTGTGTAACATTCCTCTACCACTACTCCTCCGTCTTCTATGATGGAGGCGGCGACCGCTGCCAGCGACCTTCCGACCCACACACCGCTCATAACATAGAAGTACACCGAGAACTTCACCAAGATCTTGTAGATCTGAAGCAAAGTGAAATTGACACCAGTAATTCCATCTATCATCATACTATCATTCAAGAGGAGCCACACATCTATGGATCATCCAATAAAATCAGCAGACTTCTAGATGTTACTACTGCTCGGCTTAGACTCGGTTACAATTATCTCTGGGAATTCTCATTATCTGCTGATGTAGACCTGACCAAATGTAAACTGTGTCAACAAAATTATTCGCACACCCTCCGTCACTATGTGATGGAGTGCGAAAAGATACGTGAATTTAGAGACAATTCTATAACCAATGTTCCAGCGGTGTGTCAATATTTCATTCAAAATGATTTGCTACCAGAAATTTTAGCCAAATATCCCCAGTTTGCTAACTGTAGGTAGTAACTAAGTGACTGTAACCTATCCACCGCTTCCCACTGGATGGGGGGCGGTGTGCAGGACAAACATATCAATTGTGACACTAGCTCTCCACATATGTCAGTTGCTTAATTTAGAGCCTGTACTTGAGGTCGATCTCGAACCCATTGTTGATGTGGCGACTTATATTGAATTTTGTAACTAGCTCATCAAGATTGTAACTTGCTTAGCTAAATGAATTGTGGGGTTCAGTCCTTGAGCCCATTATGTGCCTCTGTAACCCTTTCCACTACCGCCCACAGGATGGGTATGGGGTGCATAATAAATGAACTAAACTAACTAACTCACTAACTAAAATTCCTTGGCGTTCTCATTGACCACAAGCTGAATTTCCAGCGACACATTCTAAATATATCAAAAAAAGTTTCAAAAACTGTTGGCATTTTTTCTAAGATCAGATATTATGTACCCCGCCCTGTCCTGGTGACTCTATTACTCTCTCATCTATCCATATCTCAACTATGGTACTTGTGCTTGGGGTTCTACTACCCAAAATCATTTACGTCATCTAATTACTCAACACAAAGCTCCTATTAGGACAATATCCAACTCTGGCCCCAGACATCACTCGATACCCCTACTCAAATCTCTGAATATATATTTATTTATTTATATACAAGAAGTTACATTGGGTTTGTGAGAATACATAGCATAGTACAGTAATTGCACTCTTGTAAAGCCACTAGTACGCGCAGCGTTTCGGGCAGGTCCTTAATCTAACAGATAATTTTAAGTAGGTAAATTCTATCAGAATTAATAAAATGGTAACAAATACATTGCAAGAAAAAAATGAGATGAGAGAGATTAGTAAGTATATTAAAGCACATTGGTATATTAAAGCTCTGATTGATTACATTGACAGCTTGATTGGTAATTTAAACAAGATTAATAGACACCATACAGCAGATTGACAGCACATATAAGAAGACAGCAATGATCGCAATGATAAAGATGTACAGATTGGGTACATAAAGATTGGGAGATTGGGTAGCAATAGATACAGTGCCATTTTAAAGATAAAGGTAAAAAACTATGAAGATGAAATTATGTACTTTTTAGTATTGTTTTTGAATGATGCAAAAGTTGGACAGCTTTTCAATTCAATAGGGAGTGAGTTCCATAGACTGGGTCCCTTTATTTGCATAGAGTGTTTACACAGATTAAGTTTGACTCTGGGGATATCAAAGAGATAATTATTTCTGGTGTGGTGATAATGGGTCCTATTACATCTGTCCAGGGAGAGTTTCAGAGCAGGATTTGCATTTAAGAACAGCGTTTTGTAAATGTAGTTGACACAAGAGAATTTGTGGAGTGAGATTATGTTTAGCATGTTTAGGGAGTTAAACAAGGGGGGCTGAGTGTTGTCTGAAAGCAGAATTTGTTATTATTCTGATAGCAGATTTTTGCTGGGTAATGATGGACTTGAGGTGGTTTGCAGTGGTTGAACCCCATGCACAGATACCATAATTAAGATAGGGATAGATTAGTGCATAATACAGAGAGATGAGAGCAGAGTTAGGTACATAATATCTGATTTTGGAGAGTATACCAGCTGTTTTAGAGACTTTCTTAGTTATGTGTTGTATGTGGGTACTGAAGTTGAGTCTCTTGTATAGGAATAGGCCAAGAAACTTTCCATCATTTTTATTGCTAATGTTTACATTGTCTATCTGAAGCTGAATTGCATTTGTAGATTTGCTTCCAAATAAGATGTAGTAGGTCTTTTCTATGTTAAGTGTTAGTTTGTTGGTTGACATCCATAAGTGGACTTTTTTTAGTTCATTATTAACAACATTATTTAGTGTATGTGGGTTGGGGTTAGAGTAGATGAGGGTAGTATCATCAGCAAACAAAATAGATTTCAGAATGTTAGAGACGTTAGGCAGATCATTGATGTAAATAAGAAATAAGAGAGGTCCCAAAATGCTGCCCTGTGGCACTCCAACGGTTATTGGTAGAGTGGGAGAGGCTATATTATTGATGGCTACACATTGGTGTCTATCACTAAGATGGGATTGGATATAGTCCAGTGTATGGCCTCGGATTCCATAATGATGGAGTTTACATAAGAGGTAATCGTGATTAACAGTATCAAAGGCCTTTCTCAGGTCAATGAAGAGTCCAATCGGAAACTCATTTTTGTCAAGGGCTGAGTAAATTATATCAAGGAGACTAATAATTGCATCGTTGGTACTCTTTTGTGAGCGGAAGCCAAACTGACAGGGGCTAAGAATGTCAAATTTTACGAGGTAGGAGTAAAGCTGTTTGTAGATAATTTTTTCAAATATTTTTGATAGTATGGGTAGGTTTGATATTGGTCTATAATTGTTTAGTTTTGCCGGATTACGTCCTTTATAAACTGGTGTTACTCTTGCTTTTTTAAGGATATCAGGGAAGGTATGGCACTCAAGGGATTTGTTGAACAGCAGAGCTATAGGTGGCGCAAGGGCATGGGAGGCGCTCTTGTATACAATGGATGGTATATCACTGATGTTCCCAGCTTTGGTTTTTAGTGAGTGTATGATGGACACAACATCTGTCGGGCTGACTGGTGAGAGGAGAAGATGAAACTGATGAAAAGAAGCTATTAAATTCATTCGCCATTTCTAAATCAGATGACGGTGTAAGGCCATCCTTAGAGAGTGATATCTGGTTGTGGGAGTGTTGTTTAGTTCCTAGGATAATAGAGATGGTTTTCCATGCGCTTTTCATGTTGCCTTTTGCTTCTTTGAATCTAGTCTCATAATATGAAAGTTTTGCTTTTCTTATGATACTGGTAAGCACTGATGAGTACCTCTTAACTACTTCCTTTGTAACTAGGCCAAACCTAAATTTCTTTTCATATTCCTGTTTTTTGTTGATTGATTTGATTATGCCACTTGTGAGCCACGGGTTATTTTTTCTTTTATCAGTTACTTGTTTGGTAAGGAGGGGACAGTGAGTGTTGTAGAGGCTTAGAGTTTTGGAGAGAAAGAGGTTAGTTAATGAGTTTATATCCTGCGTATTATTAAATTCAGATTCCCAGTTAATATTGTGAAGTGCATTAGAAAGATTGCCTAAAGCTGATTCACTGTGTAGCCTGAATGAGAGTTTCTTGCTTTCTGGTGGTGCTGTGTCCATGTTTGCTAAGAGGAAGGTAGGATATGCTAGATATTAAGTCACTGCACGTTCTCTCATGTGTATTATACATATATAAAGCGCTGAATTGTAATGCCAATCCTGACCTCAAAAACTTCATTGAAGGTTGTAACAGAATTCATAAGCACCACACCAGAAACAAATACAGTTTTGATATTCCAAGAGTACGACTTAATAAATAATTAGTATTAAGTTTTAGTCTTAGTGTTTTTCCTGCCCGAAATGCTTTGCGTGATAGTGGCTTTAGGCATTGTATGTACTAGCTCTATCTATAAATCCATCAACTTTTGTATCTTACCTTGTATGTATGTACCTTACCTGAATAGAAATTTATTTATTATTTATTATTTATTTAATTCTTATTCGAGCGACTTGGGGATAATATGAAAATGTTTGCCATTAAATTTCCGTTTTCTCTAATAAGCACATGGCCTATTTGGAAGAACGGCATTGTATTGTAACTTAGTGGATAGACTATTGTATTGTTGACACGACGAGTGTAATCGCCCACGTCACACACTCTTGGTGTGGGCCGCGATCATGATTCTACGTTTATATGTATATGACCGTATAGGGAATTTAATTGCGATCACAATGATAGCAAATTTAACGCTGTAGGACAAGTGTGGAGTTGACAACCCTGAAAAGAATTGGGTTGAAAGGAGTGGGTTTCCAGGCTTGTGTGTCTTGACATTTCCATACGCATATCCAGGTTTATATTCCCCAGTGATCTTTGGCAGGTGGAGTCCGGATTTCTTGGCGTTCACAGTTTCGATCAGTTTGTTGACCTTTGCTTTCAGTTCGGCTGTAGTGTCCTTCGTTACCCTTTGGAACTTAGTTTGGTCAGAGATGCATAAACAACAGGGCTCCATTAAGGAACATATAATCTCTTCCCACAACCAAACCATCGCCAGAGAAATCCTAGTAAACAACACAGAAATCATCGATAGATACAGCGATAGCAGGCGGCTTGACGTTTGCGAGGCACTACACATCAAGAAGTCAACACCAGCAATCAACAGCCAATTATTGCACAACTATATTCTACCCACCTCAAGACTCCGCTCCAATATAGAAGCATCAAGAAATATGGACCAATAGGCTTTCTACAAACACTTCTATTCAATACCCGTTGTTTGTGTTCTGTCTTGTGTTGATACTTTTAATACCCTATTAATATCCCCTCTTGTTCTGTCTTGTGTTAATGCCACATCACCCCTCCCACCTCACTCAAATGTAGATATAAAATCGGAGATACGTAAGTTCTAATCAGTTGTGTATTTGTGAACTAAAGTCTTTGAAAATGTAATATATATATATATATATATATATATATATATATATATATATATATATATATATATATATATATATATATATATATATATATATATATATATATATATATATATAT